AAATTCTCAAAATCAATTTGAAATTTAATTAAAAAATTTTTTTTATTTTATTTTATGCTTATACTCCATACCTGCCCTACCTTATCTATATAGTCAGAAACTATGGTTTTTAACATTAATTCAAGTTAAAATGTTTTCAAAAACACAAGAAGAGAAAAACAAATTGTTTTACATTGTTATACAAGATAAGATATCATAAAGATTGAAACACTTATATTCGAGTTTGAGTGTAAAATAAAAAATTTTAATATTAAACGGAAGAAGTTATAAGAGAAGAAGATACTTTGACCTACTTTTATATTATTTTTTTGTTCTAAAGGATTTTTTTCTACTATAGCAATGAATAATTGAAAATTTTAATATGAAAAAACAATATAATAACAATAACTTGAAGCTGGAAAATGTTTCAAGAAAAGTTTATTAAGTTTTATATGGTATAGGTTAAAGATTCATTATCATTGCCTTACAAGGGATCATATTTAAGAAATTCCACCTAGTGCTATAAAGAGTGGAATTTATTAAATACGGAAATTTTTATGAAAATTTCACAAATTATTGCACATGTTACAATGACGTCGCAGTCTAATTTATACAAAACAACTTGATCTTATTGATTTTCCAATATTAAATTTTGAATTGAGTACGGTAACTCAATCTTGTTTGGCTCATGAAATTTATCCGAATTTAAAGTGAGCTGAAATTTTATTCATTGTAGGAGTTGCATTGCAATAATGAATTTGGAATTTTCACGATTTCATTCTAAATTATATTCATTCATTAAGACAGGACAAATATTTGTTCTCAGCACAATATTACTCTTAATAATTAATTATATTCGAAAATTTTTTTATATCGGATTCGCCTGTGACATTCGAATAATTCAAATTTCAAGTTGTATATCTTTCTTTTTATAGTTAATAAGAAAATTTTTCAAAATAATCTTTCAAAATTTGACAAAATTATATTATAATCGATTTGCTTATGGTTTTGCACCACAATCGTAATTGTTATCCATGATGGTGGTGCAAAAACGGTGAGAAATTCTTCTCATTCTAAGAATAACAATGTTTTATTTCGTATTTTTGACATTTTAACAATTAAATTTTTTCTCAGTTTAGACAGTAAATTTACTCTTTCCTGTTTTATTATACCCTGCACTTCGTGAAGGGTATATTAACTTTGGTATGGAGTTTGTAACTACTTGAAGGAGTCATCTGCGGTATGGACATATATATATATTCTTGCTCAGCGTAAAATTCTGAGTCGATTTAGACATGTCCGTCTGTCCGTCCGTCCGTCCGTCCGTCCGTCCGTCCGTCCGTCCGTCCGTCCGTCCGATCGCACGATAACTCAAAAACGAATAATGCAATCGACACCAAACTTTCACAAGTTTTTTCTTTTGTGCCAAGGACGAGCCCTATTGTTATTGGACTAATTCGGACAACGGGTTCGGGTAGCTGCCATACAACTCAAAGAGTTTATTTTAAATATTTCAAAACCTAATAAACGTATAAATATAAAATTTTATATACATGTGTCCAATTGTATTCTACACATGCTCTAAAAATTTTAATGGGATAGCTGCACCGGTTCGGGTGGCTGCCATACAACTTCAACAGCAAATTTTTTATATTCGGCAAAATAATAAAGCCAGATTCATGAAACTTGGCAGTCATGTGTCCAATTATAGGTCAAATATATTTCTGAAGTTTTAGAGGAATCGCTTGACAGGTTCGGGTACCTGCCATACAACTCCAGAAGCTAATTTTAAATATTTGGAAAAATAATAAAGTCAGATTGATGAAACTTGGCAGTCATGTGTCCAATTATAGGTCCGACATATTTCTAAAGTGTTGGTGCGATTGCTTGACAGGTTCGAGTAGCTCCCATGCAAGTCTAAAAGCTTATTCTTAATATTTGGAAAAATAATAAAGTCAGATTCATGAAACTTGGCAGTCATGTGTCCAATTATAGGTCAAATATATTTCTGAAGTTTTAGAGGAATCGCTTGACAGGTTCGGGTACCTGCCATACAACTCCAGAAGCTAATTTTAAATATTTGGAAAAATAATAAAGTCAGATTGATGAAACTTGGCAATCATGTGTCCACTTATAGGTCCGACATATTTCTAAAGTTTTGGTACGATTGCTTGACAGGTTCGAGTAGCTCCCATGCAAGTCTAAAAGCTTATTCGTAATATTTGGAAAAATAATAAAGTCAGATTCATGAAATTTGGCAGTCATGTGTCCAATTATAGGTCAAATATATTTCTGAAGTTTTGGTGGAATTGCTCGACAGGTTCGAGTAGCTCCCATACAAGTCTAAAAGCTTATTTTAAATATTTGGAAAAATAATAAAGTCAAATTTATGAGACTTGGCAGTCGTGTGTCCAATTATAGGTCCGACATATTTCTAAAGTTTTGGTGGAATTGCTTATCAGGTTCGAGTAGATCCCATACAAGTCTAAAAGCTTATTCTTAATATTTGGCAAAATAATAAAGTTAGATTCATGAAACTTTGCAGTTGTATGTCCGATTATAGATCAGATATATTTGTGAAGTTTTGGTGGAATTGCTTAGCAGGTTCAGGTACTTACCATACAACTCCAAAAGCTAATTTTAAATATTTGGAAAAATTATAAGGTCAGATTCATGAAACTTGGCAGTCGGATGTCCAATTATAGGTCAGACATGTCCGTGAAGTTTCTATAGAATGATTTTAGAGGTTCAAGTAATTGCTACACAATAACGAAAGGTGCAGGGTATAATTCAATCGGTTTATACCGACTGAAACGTTTTTACTTGTTAACTTATGTCAGGATGGCGCTCTACTCAACAGATATAAATATAGAGCCTAATTTAAACACTTTATTTACCAATATAAATAAGTAGTGTAAAATTTTCAATACAAATTATTTTTCTCAAATAAATTATTATAGACCTCCCAAACAAAAAAAAAATTTATATAATTATTAAGTAAACTTTGACTTTAAATATCCCATTACATAACAAAAGTAAACTCATTAAATAATGTTTTTAAAAGTCTACCGTATATTTAAGGGCAAATGGAAAAATAAAACTAAAAACCAAATGTGGAAAACCCTTTAATTTTATACAAAAACTAAAAATAAAAGGTTAACCTTTTCCAGAGAGTGAAAGAGATGGTATAGAGATCTTTAAACTGTTTTATAATTTAATTCACGTTTCAATTTAATTACAAGTCTTATTACACATACCCATATTATATTAAATACTTAAATGTGCAATACAATTTGATTCCAGATCTGTTTAAATAATTTCATTTAATTTTATGCTCTTTTTATACTTCTGTCTGAGTTAAGTAATTCTTGAAAAATAAATTCACAGCATTAATACACAAATTCAGTTGAGTGTCTGAAATAATTTTTTTAACTTAAATAGCAACATTGTTGCTACAAAAATGGTGATATCAACATTATATATATAGATAGTCAAGGTACGTTTAAATTTGATTACCATATAAAAATGAATGCAAAAAAATTTTATTTTTTTTTCTTCTCTTACTTGAATTTTTATAGGCTGTAGGTATGGTATACCTACTGCTGTACAACCTAAAGAAATTTTTTTTATAAAAGATCATCATATTGCATGTACATACATATAATATTATTCTGTGGTGCATTATGATGGTGGCAAATTGTAAGAATTTACAAATAGTCAAGTCATATTGGAGAGAAAAAAGAGGAATATTTAAAAAAAACAAAAAATAATCCTGTGGTTTCTTTGAATTATAAAATGACAAAATTATGCGTAATTCATTTAATATTCTTTTATATAATAATATTATGATAAGTGATGTTTGCTATTTTATATCCTAGTTTAAATTAAATTCACTTTAAGGTGGGATATAACCGGTATAACAAATATATGTATTCCAAATAGGGATTTTCTATAATAGTAAAGAGATCACCCTAGAATTGCATATATTATGAATAATTAATTTAACAAGCTAAGGTTGATGAAAAAACCAAAAAAAATTAATTTAATACAAATTACAAATTTATCTATACCACATTCTGAAAATATATTCTAGTTTCATCTGTGATTTTTCTATACAATGTAATCTAATGAATTTCATTAAGTAAGATTCATTGAATATTTTTTAAAATCCTTTGGAAGTTCAAAGTATTTTCCAATGCTACAATTTTTAGTTAAATTGAAATTTATGTTTGAAATATAGTTTCAAATTTGGAAACGAAATTATCCTGCCCTATTACAAGGGCAGTCTTAAAGTTGTTCGTTACATAAATGAATTCCCAGTGAGATCTGTTTTTTATGTTGCTCTTAAATGACGAATTTTTAATGACATTAAGTTTTAAAGAAAATTTTTTATAATATTACGTATGAAGCATAAGTAGCTTCTTTTATGAAATTATTATGTCCGAAAATAATTATAACTTTTAAAATACATCCAGGAATTACAACATTATGAATCTTTTGCAGGGTATCTCCTCATTATAACAATTAGTGAGAAAACCACTAAAGAATGCGAATATAATTTAACTTTTTTCAAAGATTATTGAATTGCTGTCTTCCCGAATTTATTTCCCAACAAATAGGTACACTAATTATATTATTTCGTTTTCTTCCTTTACGAAATCTCCCTTTCGAAATCTAACTACATGACTCCAACTCTAGCTCAACTCTAACTTTAACTGTAACCATAATTTTAACTGTAACCATAACTATTATTTTTACTCTGACTAACACTCTTTGTTTGACTCTGATACTGTATATGACCCAGACTCTGCTTTATACTTTTACCTCTGCTCTAGCTTTCGCTCTGATTCTTATTCTGTTGTTGATTCTTCAAGCTAGCTATTCTTATTTCGAAAAATTTTTTTAAAGATTAGTGTAATATGCATAATATAACCACATTGATTCAAAAATAAAAATAATTTTCGTTAAAAATGTTGAAATTTTAAACTAATTAGGTCTTTTTAATTTTTTTTTAATTACAGTTTTCGACACAGGAAACTTTATGTCCAGATCATCCTGAATGTGCTACGGTAAGTTTTAATTTTATTTTATATATTCGTCTGTACTTTTTTAATTTATTCAAAAAATTTATTTTAAGGTATACAAAAAATAAAAGTATCATATTTCTTAAGGGTGTGTGTATTGTCAGCTGTGATTCATTTAAGTTATAGACGACTTAATAGTATTAATACTGTACATAACACTATTCATCTGAGAATCGGCCACCATTATGAACTGCAGATATACTAGATCTCGTACCATAAGATCTTTGAATAAAATTTTTAAGAGAAATTTTGTTTACTACGAGCTGCACTGCAATATTAAATAAAACTTATTGACCCAGCAAATATTCTGTAATACCAGCAATTTATTATCATAATTGTATTAATAATTCTTATTTCGGGCTAAAGGCCTTCCTTAAGGATGTCCTTTACGTAAAATTTATATGTAAATAGTTTTATAACAAGTTCCACTAGGTCAAAAAATTTATTTTTAAAATCAAATTATCTATATTCTACAAAATATTTAATTGAATTGTTGAAATTTAAAATGAAAATTTCAAAATTTTATTTAAAAGAAAAAAACAAAGATAATAAACTGATCTTGCACTCAATTTACATTTTGATTATTATGATATGAATGTTATTATTATATGTAGCTCAAATTTCCGCCAAATTTTTTTTTAATTTTCACCAAACACAGATCACATAAACAGATGCACAAACATGCTTTTAAGACATACATATACGTTAATCTTATTATATAAGTATGTGTGCCATGTGTACGCCTTAATATGATTTTACGCAGCTTTATTCTTAAAAAATAACATACCCAAATTAAAAAGAACTTGAAAAAAAAACAAAATTTTGTTTATATTATGCATGACAAAGCGTACCAAATACACTGTACAAAATATGATTCTAAAAGTCAAAATCAAACCTTACATAACATTATTATGCGATTCTTATAGCTTATCAAATTAATTCAAAAAAATGAAATGCAAAATATTATAAGGTGTAGAACACAAACGTTATGCAAGACCAAGAGAAGATTATTCACAAACCATAAGTAAAAAAAAAATCAGAAAAAATACAAAAAAAAACCTTTGAAATTTCCGTCGGTCAAATATAAAATATGAAAAGATAAGTTTTTTGGAAAAAAAAGAATCAAAAGAAAAAAATTTTTCTCTCCGCTTTACATTCTTAAACTCATATAGAACTCAGTCAGTCAGACAGGCACCAAAACATTTTGATATGAATCAAAAATTATCCAGCCTACCATAACTAATCCAATTTATATCACATGTGAATTTTCTTTTTATGTAAAAACAAAAAAGTTATGGTCAGCCAGAGTTAATATAGCAATTCAGGAAATGGCAATTTTTAAAATTCTGTTTTTTTTTTTCGGACATTATGCAATATTCTGTATTTATTACATCGTCTATTTACATATTATGTGTATGTATGTATGTGTATATGAATGAATAAAGTGTTATTATAAGGCGTTGCAAAATAATTTACGAAAAAATCCTTTTCTCTTTATGTGCCTTTGATTTTTCTTGATTCTTACTTGAATACAAAATAAAAAAACAGATTTTCATAATTTGATTTTAAAATCCAGACAGAAGAGGATAACACATTTTGAAATCAGATTAAAATCGCTTTAGAAATCACAGATTATTTCTCAAAATAAAAAAAGAGAGAAATTTTCCACAAAAATTTCACTTAAAGCTTAAGAAATTATTTGACAATATTGTGAATGAGTTTTTATGAAGAGCCTAAATTTAGACATTAAGCTAAAGAAATTGGGAATTTGATACTTGGTCTATTTAATTGTTATAAAAATTTTGTGATATTGAAATATGTGAAGTAATGTCACATCTTGTTTGCATAATATCTGTGATTTCAAACAATAGTCGCATATATCGAGATAAGCAAAAAGTAAATTTTTAACATTTCCTTCTGAATATCCTTTCCAAGTTAAACTAAAACCTTCATAACCCTTAGACATTAGCAATCATTGTTTTGTTGCCACAATTATTTCAATTTTGAATAACATTTTCCAATAAATACTTAGATTTCTGTTTTTAAATAACTTTAATTTCTGTTAAAATATTTAAGTTAATTTAGGAAACGATCTCCTATATTCTTTTAGTCGCATGCGAGATATTAGTTAGTAAAGTGTTTTGGTTTTCATTACACAATCCCAAACTTCAAAATTATGTGAGAAATTGTTAAAAATTATGCCTATACTAGAATTTTTTTCAAAACAGAATAATATTACGTTAACCTAATCTAACTTCTATTTTATTCTCACGGGTCTGCAGGCTTAAAAAACACGTAAGTAATTTGGGCTTAGAGACTGAAGGGTCTTTCAAGTATTGTAAAAGTTTAAACGGGACTCCGATGCGCCTTCCCAATGAATGTGGAGGGTTGATTAATAAGAGAAGTGAAAGCTTGGGCGGGCCTTGGCTGGTAGGCATGCCGTTGTCGGATAATGTGAATTTTCATCAAAAATGTGAGGAGTGCTCTAGATCGGGGTGCATCATTGCCTCATTCTACAATCTACAACTTCCATTTAAAATTATTTCAAAAATATTCGACGATATAAAGAACAAACTGCTTCAGTCGGTTAATATGACAAAATGGAGAGTTTATGACATTTTGATTCTGTCAGTTCAACACCTTCAATCCCATGTGTCATCATATTCCATATATTTTTACTTCAAATTACAATTACTTACACATCAACTAATATCATCATTGAATTTTCATAAAATATTCTCTCCAAAATTATTTCAAATTACTCTATTTCTGATGTAAACTTATAAAAACCTTAAAAGGTCACAATCTCAAGTATTTAATCAACAAAATATAAAATTAATATTAAATTTAGAATATAAATTTAACTAAGAATAGAAGACCAAAACTAAAACATTAACAACTACCTTAAGTTCTTAATAATATTGAGAATTTTATGTCTTAGACTCAAAATAGACACTCATCAATACCAACTACTCAATTTAATATTTTTTGCAACGCCACAATACACAAAACCCGTTTATTATCACCTATTATATTTTATTCAAAATATTTCAATAAAAATAATTTTAACGATATTTTAATAAAATTACTCTTTTACTATTTTCATTCTATTTTATATTCTTTACAATAATAACAATAATGATAGTAGGTATAACCTTCCATTTGAAAATCTAGGTAATAACCTTATGTTGTCCTATCATCATTCCAATTTTATAACAGCTATTCATTTTCTCTTGTTTTTTTTTTTGACTTTTAGTTTCTCAGAGCGCATATAAACAAAACTCACAGCATATGAACATATTTATGCATATACAATGTACATACATATTATGTACATATCCACATCTATATATAACAAAATATGTATATAGGCATACATACTTAAAACTCTGCGGGAAAACTTAAACATGTTTTCCTCTAATTTCCTTTCTATTCCTTTCTAATACTTAAACTTCAAACTTTTAAAAGAAGTAATAAAGAAAACAAAAAAAAAATAAAATAAAAATTAAACGTAACATGACTATAAAGTTAAACAGAACAACAACAACAAAAACGACAACAATAATAAAAAGAAGAATAAAAAATTGTGCCGAACGCCTTTTCACTTATTGTTTAGTTTACAATAAACATGGCACCATACTGTTTTTTCGGCATTAAAAAAAAATCTATGTAAGAAAAACAGAAAATAAAAATAATAATATCATAAAAAAAATAAAGAAATAATAATAAAAAAAAACAGTTACACTAAATGAAAGAATACAAAAGTAACCGTGGATCTGAAAGCTATAGTAGCCACGGTTAGAACTCAAATTTTGTAGCTGCCTTCGGTTTTGTGGCTAAAAAACGTAGTTTCTTCTTTATCAAAAAATACACCTATATTCGGTTAGTCCCATCATTTGACGTGATGGGTTTTAAAAAATTTTGCAAGTTTCTGATTAAAATCAATTATGAAAATTGAAATTCTATACTGAAAACTAAAACACTCTGTAGTAATATTCCATCATCAGAAGTGACACTACTTTAACACTGTTTCTTTCACATTTTATTAAGTTCGAACCCCTTGAGTTGACAATTTTCCATGAACGTTAAAAAATTTTTTATTAATTTGTTATTGAACGTAAAATTTCTCGCCATTTTTAATGTTTCTGAAATTCTAATTGAATTTCTGAAATTGTTTCCTAATATATCAAAGTTGCTAACGACTCACAGTTCACCAAACTCACAGTTTACCGGCTGAGTGCACTTGGTGCTATCAATTACATTTTATCAATTACAACTAGAACCAAAAGTGTTACACAATTTTCCAAATATTGCTCCAAACCAAATGAATAATATTTTTAACTACATACATAATATGTACCTGTGTTTGCTTTCAATGAGGCTATTAGTAGGAAACTATAATATAATCTTAATTTGAAAAATAGTTTATTTTTTCCTAGCTGGTTTTAGTCTAATTTGTTAAAAAAATTTTTGTGTTTTCGCTTTCAATTTTTTTTTTTAAATTTCTAAAATTATACTAACCAGATTTTAATACGTCTATGAAATTATTTGGAATATATTTACATACATACATGTATGTACATACTTATGTATTCGAATATGTATGAATATTAATGAAATGATATTAATTGCGCTGTTCTAAAATATGTAATTTTATTTTCAGTGAAATGACTTTATACTATTATCATTTCCCTTTGTAGCCTCATGTGAATAACTGTATATATGTAGTTATGTACGTGTAGTTACATAAATATTGATATCTGTTATAAAATTAAATTTAAATACTAACGTACATAAATATTATTTATACTAAACTTACTAGTATAAATAATAATGCTACAGTTGAACTATAGGGGAACACTATAAAGTAAAACGGAACAAATAAACAAGCAAAAAAAAAAAAATAATCGAAAATATTGTTATTGAGCACGAGATACAATGGTGGTTCAGTGTTCACCTATACTAGTTTTCATTCAGTTTCCTAC